ATTTTTTTATAAAATAACTACATAAAAATAGATCATAAAAAGTAAAAATAACATGTAAAAACAGATAATAAAATAAAATAAAAAGAAAAAACATTAAAAAGGGGGGACTATAAAGCGAGTAGCAAAATCATAACAACTTACATGGACGGATATTTTTCAAGAATGATTTAAAAATGTTTTCGCAGAAAGATTGCCAGATTACAAAATATGAAAACAAAAGATGAAAACAAAAGCGCAAATTGAGTGTAACAAGAGGGTTTTAAAGTGTCGTTCTTACTGCACTGCTGAAGTGATTTGTTATTCTGAGCTTTGATTTGTTAGTTACCAAGGATGGGCCCGAAATGGATGTGCGCAAGGTAATATTATACTGGATAATTTTAGAAATTGATCATAAATAGTTTCAGAAGATAGATATTTATTTAAGAAAACATATAAAATAGAAAAGAGAAACATAAATTGCCTGTTTTTGCAAATAATTTTAGCCGCGGATTTGCACGATATGGATTAGCACATAGAAAAATTATTTAAATTATCAAAGAAAAAAAATTTATATATATATATATACACATGCAACTCGCTATCTTAGTACTTACGTATTTTATCCTTGGACATGCTAATGCAATCCATTTCAAATCGCTCCGTTCACTTTTTTGTCTTGTTTAATAACCCAAACTTTATTCAATTCCATTTATACTTAATGTTAAATATATTAGAGAAGATGTACATTGCTCGAAATTGCTCTATAACCCTTTGAACTGCATGCATAGTTTTTTTTTAGATCGCTTCCTCATCTGAGTCTGAGCTCACTTCCGTTGCTTATTTCCACATTGCAACCCACACCGAAAAGCGAAAACCCACGCTGGGCCACAGTCGAAACCATACTGGAACGGATTACTGATAAAATGACGAAAAATAACAAGATATTAAGATGGATTGGTAGTATTCTTTCGTTGAATAAGCGCAACTTCACGATTTAACTATGACAAAATAATTGGACATTTAAACAAAATAAGATAAAAGGAACAAAATACGATCTTTACACGTAAGAATACTTAGCAGCAAAAAAGAAAAAAACTTTACTAATAGTATTTACTTAATTACATAACGCGGGGCATAAAAAAATAATTCAAAAGCTATGTTTTATGTTCTACATTATAAAAATCTATAAATTTATGTATATGCCTGTATTTCGAGAAATTAGCTTACCAACTCGTGCGTATTTATTACCCAAGTTTTTGTACTATAATTTCTTTTATACTTTTTTTTTATATGCCTGTTAATGAACTCTGTTTTCAACCTGCACAGTTAATTCCAATAAAATTTAAATTTTTTATGTAACAAATAGCAAAAAAAAAATTTTTTTATTTATTTGCCTGTTTATTTTTTTTAAGGCAATGCTTTCTTCCAAAAGAAGAAAATCGTATTCTTTCAAAATTATGTAAAATGTAAATTCCAAAATTTTATAAAATGTAACACTCCAAAATTACTTAAAATTTTAAAAAGAAGATCAAAATTTTATTTTGATTTTCAGTCATTGGAGTAGTTGGTTACAAGAAAAATTATAATTTTTCTCTTATAATTTTTCTTTTAAAAAAAAATCCCGACAATCGACAAAATAAATAATTTAATTACTCATAAACTGATAAGAAATTAGCACAAAGTTAAATGAATATTCATTTTCAGGCCTAATAGTTGGTATCTTCAACAAAAAAAATTGCATTAATATCATTTTCAAATTAATATGCATTTTGACAAAAAATTTGCAATAATTCTTTTTTTTTTTCTGATCACTTGCTGACAGCACATGTGGTGGTAACGGTAACGGCAGTATAGAAAAATTCTTCATAATTAGAGTAGAAATGACGTATCATAGTTACAGTATCGAAATATTTAACAAAAGGCTATTAAAAAAACCAACGTCAGAAATTAACAAATAATTCTCAGAATTTTCCTCCATATTATTTTCCTCTTCGATAAAGTAAAGATATTTTAAAAGTTTTAATATGGATTGAATGATTAAAAAAGGTATAAAATTTTATTTCTAATTCTTTGATTGTAGATCTCTTTTTTTTAAAAAAAAAAAAATATTTTATTTCATACTGACAGAGTACTGTCGAACAATTCAATTGTACAACAAAAAGAAATTCTCAAAAGAAAAGAAATCAAAAAATTCTTAGTGTCCAACTCGATATAACATTTCACATTTTGTAAACGTCAAATAACAAAAATAAATGAACAAAAATAAAAGATAATTATACATTTAGACTATAACTAGTGCTTCACGCTATTTAATTTGGAAAAAAAAGGTACAAAAGCCTACTTTAAAAAAAAATTATTCTGTGTAATATTAATTTACTGCAGTGCTTCTTTTCGAAACATCAGTTTTTATTCATAATTAAGCAAAACTTTCGCAATGTCAATATACTATAGTAAATCAATAGTTCGCGACCCAGAAATGGGTCATGAGCAACGTTCGCGACCCACAAATGGGTCATGAGCAACGTGGAACTGGGCCGTAGACGCTGGTTGAAAGTCTAATCCAAGATGAATTTTGGGGTCTATAATGCCAGCTTTGTCAGATGATTTACGAGTGCTCCTGTCATGTGGAGTAATTCAATATTTGTTACAGTTCTGACAGCTAAGTGAATACAATAAAGTTATTTTCTTTCATAAAAAAAAAGTATTTTTTAATTCTTCTTGCACAATATATTTTACTAATTACTTACAAATGGGCTCATAAGTAAATAATAGGTGTCTATTTCTCATTATATTTACTTTATTTAGTAGTTAGTAGGCCTTACACTTTTTTACAAAGTTGATCGTGTGCATAACTAGGAAAGTTTGGAACCACTATAATATACCAATGAGAAAGAAAAAAATCAAATTAAAAAAATACAAATAATAATTGTTGAGTGCAACAAATTTATTCTATAATCTTTGAAACAATAACCGCATATCCACGTCCTAAGTTTCAATCATTCTCACTAGTTTTAAATGCACATCTTAAATTTAGACTAATAAATTAATGCCACACATATATTTACTTAAAAAATAAATCAAAGCCCACTTTTTTCAAATGAGCCAACTACTTTATTTATTTAATTTTATTTTCAAGAATATTTCGGTTAATACTAGTGCATTGCCACTGTGGTTATGTTTTCGAAAAATCAAATCTCTTATTCCTCACTCAATTTTGAACGAAAAAATCCAATGTCCAACTCAATATACCATTAAAAAACATTCCCGCAACAGCCAGAAAGCTATAAAGAACTCTATAATATCATGAATTACGTGGTCAGTATTGCTTACCGACCACCTTTAATTTCTAGACAATAGAACACATAGATTCGAAGCTAGCTCGGCATGAAACCACCACTGGATATCGAACCCCAATTGTTCAAAATGACCAGTCAGTGTTTAGCATACACTGTTCTCAATATATCTTAAACAAAGAAAAAAAATCTCAGCAAAGAAAAAAAATTTTTTTACTTGCCACAAATATATTTTTACACTTTGAGACAATGATCGAATTTTCATGTATTATGTCTGTTAATATAAACAATGGTTCCAAAGACACGTCTTGATGTGTTTAGGTTCGAAATATCAAGTTCTTTATTTTTTAATTTATAACCAAGATAACCGAGGAAAAATTCGAAAAAAAAAGAAAGTAATAACCTTTTAACAACATGAAAGAAATCTATTCTTACATTTTGTGACAATGATCAGATTTTTAGGCACTATAGTGTAAGCTTCATGAGGTTAGCTTGAGGATTTACCGCATGTGCGTAACAAGCACATAAGAGCAACACTGCCGAAGTCAGAGTCAATATAATACCAACTGGTTAAACTGGTGCATTGTCATTTAACTCTGAACTTTTACCATTTCAAAGATGACAGCATATAAGTGAAGTATAGATTGCTTTCTATTTTTTTCGATATATTAAAAAATTAATTTTAAAATATTATCCATCTAGGATAAAGCAAAACAAAAAATAATAAAGAAATTGAATATTACACTCAGGAAAATATTTCAAAACCTTAGTGTCTGCATAACTTCAATCTGAATATATTCAAATATTACTCATCAATTACCGAAAAGAAAGAAAAACAAAAACATTTTGATCAAAATACGGAATACAATCGATTGTCCTCTCTTAACTTTAACTTAAAATGCTAGATGGCAGCACCAGATAATATAAGCATACTACTCTTCTATCATTTTATGGTTTAGCGGATTTAACAAATACATAAAATTAAAATGATATAATTAATAATTTGTCTGTAAATAAAATTTTCCCACTCATTTTATCACTTAATTTTTGTTTTGCGACGTCAAAATGATAAGAGGTGATTTAGAGCCCCTGAATTAGACAAGCCGATTTATCATCTATTTTTGGAGCAAAGAGCTAACATAAGCACAATACTAACATAACGTTAGCTTGTGAACTCGTTTGCTCCAATATTGCTTGATAGGTCAGCTCTGATAGTATAGTAGCCTTAAGTTGATTATATGAAGAGAACGTAGGGAATCGTAATTAAAGTTTGCATGTAGTGCATTCTATCACTCATGGTCATTTATTATGTGTTTAAAAATTGCATATGGAAACAGCAATGCGATGTGTAGGGTTTACACAAGTTCTTTTCATTTTTATTAAGGGATGCATGATCTCATGGAAAACATTTAAATCATATGCATTTATGAAAGATTTACTTAAAAAACGTAATTATTAAATTTTAAGAGACTATGAATGTAATTCAACCAAGTTGGCTAAAAATTACACCCAATTTTGTTGAATGAATCTAATGTTTTTGTAATGTTTAATTGATAAAATCGCGATTTTAACAATGACAATTAATTTCGTTAACTAATTCGCATGAACACATTTTTTTCAGAATGTAAATGTTAGATGGCGCCAATAATCCAAATATGTGTAAACACCACTGCCGTTCGTAATGTAAATTGTAATCAACTTTGACGACGTTTTACTGTGAGTTTTTCTGAATGAATCAACCTTGGCATAGAAGATAAGATAAACCAATGGAATAAACTTATTCTACTCATTCGTCAGAAAAAGTTTCTGTAACATTATCCGGCTGGAATGTACGTGTAATGTTGATTGATAGTTAAATAAACAAACAAGAGTTTAAATTGCTACTCATTTTTTTCCTCTTATCTAGTAAACTGATAAATTTTCGGGTTTTTAATCTGTTTGCCCTTTCCATTCTCTTTCTATTCAGTTTGACTACCGGTATTTCCGTCACTGAAAATTTTTTCTTGTCACTGGGATCATGAGCTCGTAAGTTGTATTTTTTCTAAAGATACTATTAAACTGATGTGCAATATAAGATTTCATTCGATTCTATAACTTTTTTTAATATTTATTCTCTCTAATAATTTTCAAAAATTTTTCCATTTTAGTTGGATGTATAAAGCTATTTTAAATAAGTCAATAATAGGACCGATAATTTCAATGAACTCATTGATTTAAAACAATGTTCGTTTTTTTATTAAACATTTAGATAAATACATAATAAAAAGCATTATATAGTTTGTTGAGAACTAGAAATTTTTAAAAAAATGATCTTGCAATTATTTTAATTGTCCTAATGTTAAACATTTTAATATTAAATGGCTAAGATCTTTCAGATTATTAAAAAAATAATAATTAATCACAATGCTATTTCATATCTGTAGGAATTTGAATGAGTGTTGTAGCTGAAATATTCTTTTAAATTATGTGACGATAGTCCTGGAAATCAAAAGAAAATGCTCCCTGCTTTTACATGTAATTTCTTCTTTTTTTTTTAAATGTCACATTTAAAGGAATAAAATTTCACTCTTTTTTTTTCTCAAAATCAGGATAAGTGTTTTCTTATTTTTACATACAGTGAACCTCTTCAATACTGAAAAAACTATCTGCTTAGAAGGAAATGTAATGAACTCTTTTTACGAAATTAGTTTGATTGTTGAATAAATTAATTTGATGTTTAGGTAAATTAATAATTAGAAAAGGAATTGCTTTAGCATTTATTTAGATTCAAAATACAATAATGCTTAAAAAGTTAGATAAAAACTCTATGAAAATATAATGTAAGTGCTACTCAAAGTGCATAACTCAAATTCAGCTGGGTTATACAATTCCAACTATAGAAAAAAAAAATTTCTAAAAGTTGCTTTCAGTTGGTTTTCAGCTCATCAGACCTTTGTGATGAATTTTTAGCTCCTTTAACATTCATTTTATCATTTAATGTGCCTTAATTCTAAAATATGAATTTGAAGAGGATATTTCTTTATTGGTACCTGTTAGCCTGAACTACAATTGGCAAGGTGTGAAAAGGGATTTTAAACTTCCAAAAAAAAAATTTAAAAAGTAGGTGAAGGTTTGGCCAAGGGTTACTCCAAGTTATAACCTTCAAATTGGTCCCTTTCTGTAATGTTTTTTTTATTTATTTTTTTATGCTATCATGATTTTATAGTTTCTGAAGGCCACTGCCAATACTTGACAATTATTTTCATAAAAATAGAAAATATTTTTAATTTTAGCATTATGTTGTGATTTTAACTCTGTTACACAGAGCTCATTCTAGGCAGAAAAAAGGGCAGGGTGCAAAAGTTTAAAAAAAGGGGCATTAATATTCTAAAAAGGCAATCATTTCTTTCTATGGGCTTTACAAGTTCTATTTAAAAAACCTTGTTAATTAGTAAAAGAAATTTTCTACTTTTTTTTTATTTTACTAAAAGTAGCAGAGTAATCATATTAATTACTAATTTTTATTAATAAATTAACATATAAATTGGGTTTATGAGCTAATTAGCTTAGTAATTTATTTAAAATCCATGCATATATTAATAAAAAAAATAAATGTATGTTTTTAAGTGTCTGTAATTATGATTTAATAATTAATAATAATTATGATTTAATGATAGTGGAAATAACTTTCAAAGACAAGTGCAACAAGGGGGTGTTATAGCTATTTTTCCTTTCCCATATAAATCTATGTATTGACAGTAATGACAAACTAAATAAAAAGAGTTGAAAATAACAAAAGTTTAAAAAATCCATTGTAGAGTTTGGGGGAAAAATAAAGAAGGGTTGAGGAAAGAAAGGGTAAGGAGTCTATTACATCAGGGCACTAAATTACTTCAGGAGCAACAGGGTGGATTCTTTTGACTAAAAGGGCAGCAGGGTGCTGCGCCTTGTTCACCCTGTCTAGAATGAGCTCTGTGTTACATATTAGGGACTTAATATCTCAAATCTTGCACATTAATTATAGTCGCAAATATGAAATCAGCAATATTGCTCGTTTCGTAACTTCTACCTTCTTTGAAAAATGTCTTATTGTTTTTTATTACATTATTTATTTAATTCTCCTTTTTTTACAGTGCAAAATTAGCCCCCAAAATTAAATTGAACAATGGAATGGAAATGCCTCTTATCGGTTTAGGCACATGGAAGGTAGATTCCATTCTTATAAAATTTTAAATTTCCCATACATATAACATCTTTAGTTTAACTAATTTTCTTTAATTTTAGTCTAAACCTGGTCACGTATTTGAAGCTGTGAAGTGTGCCATTCAGAGTGGATATCGGCATATTGATTGTGCTCTTGCCTATCAAAATGAGACGGAAGTTGGAAATGCAATCAAAGAAAAGATTGCTGATAAAACCATCACTCGCCAAGCTATCTTTGTGACTACTAAAGTAAGTTCATTAATCAGGGGTGATTGTGATCCCGCTGTACCCCAGAATTCCGGGTACTCCCCGGTCTTCAGGGTCTAAAAACTATAAGCAGGGTATGTGATTTTCCCACGAGTGTTGCAGAATTCCGAGTATCTCAAAATCATCTGTTCACAGACTTCCGCGCATCAAAATCTTATTATCTGACAAATTTGTTCTATATCCCATTAACGAGACATTTACATACACATAATTCTTCTGCCATTCCGATTGTTTTGATTTGGTGGATGTTCACCATTTGGAACTGTGTGTTTGGATCCACTAATTTTTACTCACGCGATTTTAATATCGTTCATCAATTTTCGTATTCACATGGTTTAAAAGCATACATTGCAGCGATTTTTATTCATGCGAATTATAAATCCAATGTATTGACTTGTATTTACATATCCTTGTATTTACACCTAAAATCCCGATTTGTATTCACACGAATTTGATTTCACGCATTTTTCAAATCCATTATTGCGATACTTATTTATGTGGTTGTAATATCAAGATTCGATTTTCATATTTATAACGGATTTTTAAAACTATATCGCAATTCGTATTCATGCGAATAAAGTTACTTAAGCGACTTTTCAATCTAAGACATCTGCCAATTCAAGAGCATTTATTTTAAAAAATAATAAGTTGTTGTTAGTAGAAAAGAACTTTTTTTACTTTTGCTTACCTCTCTGTTTTGCTTATTAACTAAAAAAAAATTCAGTTCACATGATTTATTTTTAAGGAAACCTTATTATATAAATAAAATTCTAATGTGCAAAAATATAATTATACAGCATTTAAACTTTTTTTGTGTGTCTTTGATGTTTTCCTCTTACATATTCTTAAATTTTAGGCATGGAACACATTTCATAGACGAGAAAAAGTTATTGAATCTTGTAAACGATCATTGAAAGATTTACAGCTTGACTATGTGGATCTCTTCCTCATCCATTGGCCAATCGCTTACAAAGTAATTTTTAATAATCTAACTTTGTATTTTTATTTGGAAACATTTGAAAGTTAAGGAATCATGTTTATGAAAATTTATTAAATTATCATGGAGCTTAATGTGATTAACTTCAAGCTTAATTTATGTGTAAGTAATGTTTTAGATATAATATGAGAAAATTTTATTTAATCTGCTTTGACTATCATATTAATCAAAAGCCATTTTTAAAAAAAAATTTGTCTGATTTTGATGCTATTTATTACTTAAATATATATGTTAGAGGTCGAAATTAACAGTTATGTGAGGACAATAAAATTTTGTGCGGACCACTGTAAAATAAATTAGGAGTGGTTGCCCGAACCAGCTATAAAAGTAAATAAATTGTATGTTGCTTTGGCTTCATGTTTTTTCAGTGTTGGGCCATTCTCCACTGTAAACACTCTAAACCTCAATTTTTATCTTACTTGTACATATTTTTAATTTATTCAATAATAAAGTACATAGGTTAAATCTTAAAAAATGAGATACAATAATAGTTATATTTAAATTTTTATTATGAAATCAATTCTTAAAATTTAGCATTGTACTTTTTAAGTTTTCTTGTTATAATCAACATATTTACATTTATTTCCTTAGCTAAAAAAATATTATAGCATTTCAATTTTCTTCTTTTTCTTTCATATATCTATATGATGCTCTTATTTAAAAATAAATTAAAAATTTAAAAATCATATTAAAATTATGTAAAAAATAAAAATTTATTTGAGCAAAAATTGGTTGTCCCGTGCATAACACAAAAACATGATAATTTTTATTTTTCTCATTTATTTTTAGGGCAAAACAGAAACTGCTTCAATTTTACTTTCTTTCTCTTAGTACTGACTTATACTACAAAGGAAGTTCCTCTAAGTTTAATATTAGATAAAAAATTAGCACTTGTTTTCATGTCCCGTGCATAACTTAGATTTCTCTAAAAATCGGGAAAATCAAAAACTCCAAGAGCATTTATAACTGTAGGTGGCTGAGTAACTTTAACAACTTCCTCATGTTGTAAAACACTTTATCTTCTCGTTTAGGCCATTTCCAATATTTTCCAGGCTTTACCATGGCAGAAACTTCAATATCATTTCCCAGCACTTGCATAACTTCTCCAGCATATAAACTATTATCATATTTCACAACAACCCAATTTCCTCCAATACTTTTTGTGGTGTTAATTGCCCTGGTATTAAGATTTCTTTTTATTGGTGCTACAGCATTTTTATAAAATTTTAAACCAGAAGGCGAATATGTAATTCCATGCATTTTAGAAATTCCTGGTATTACTCTTGCGTTGGCCCACATATTATTATCTCTGTTTATATCTTTATCTAAAAATAGCATCACTGTAATAGGTGGCATAGCTTTTTTTACAACATTTACAAAATCTTCCGCAGACTGCACAATTGGAACTGTCTTAGCTGCCTAAAACTGTCCTAAACTGTTTTAAAGTGTCCAAAACCTTAAACATTGGTAAAAGATAAAAATTCTATATGTGAAACTATTAAACACATAATAATTACATACATTAATAAATATTTTATATTTTTTATACAATTTACTTTAACTTATTAAAGGAAAATAATATAATAGGAAAAGATCAATAACTTTTGAAGCTGCACAATTCATTGAATAACAAAAGTGAGTACCTTATCCTTTAAATATGCTTTTAGTACTGATAAATTATGTTTTTGCATAAGGATAAATAATGCAATATTTAAAGTAATAATAATTTTTTTAACAAAACAAAAACTTGTCTTCATTTTGTTCCTTGTTCAAAAATTAACCTTTTATTTTTCACATTATTTTTTTAAAATTTTAATATAATTTGATCCATAGAGTTTTGGACAGGACAGTTTAAACCGTTGATTAATCCTTTCTTTTTTAAACCTTGCCAACTCTGATGCTTCATTCAGATATGTCACCAAATAATATTTTCTTAATTTAATTTTCTCACCATTCTTCCAAACTGTAACTTCATCTTTCATTCCTGGTGCTGTAAAAAAAAATATCTGGACGGAAAAAAAATTATCGTACTAAATTTGGTGACTCTTCATCACTAATAGTATTTTTCTGACTAGCTTGCATGTTTAAGCCAAAATTTGTCGCAATTACAGAAACTGCTTTCTTTTTTCTTTTTTTTTGGTTGGAGATTTAGGTAAAGATTTTAATGATTTTCTCATTGCTTTTCCGACAGCTTGATAACTCTTGTAGGCATTTTCAATTTGGCTTGTTGATGGTGTATTATTCCTAATCTCTGTTTTCTTTCTTTGGCGATACAGTTGTAATTATCCTTTATAATGATTTATAAAGCTTCTAATCCAGATCACCAAACTAAATTCAAAGTATGAATTAGTGTTGCCACTTCAAAATATACATAATTAAATCAAGAGTATGCTTCCGTGTGTAATAAATTGAAGACATGTCCCGTGCATAACATTAGGTATGTCCCGTGCATAACACAAATAAAATAAATTTAGAATTTTATGAAATAATGTATTTGGAAAACATTCAGCATAATTTAATAGAAGTAATATTTATCAGCTAAGAAAAAAAATATAATGACAATATACAAGTTTTAAATTTACAGAGTTTATGAAAAATAGAAGTTAGGGTAGAAATTAATCTTTTTTCTGAGTTCCGTGCATAATGACTATATTAAATCCCTTTTCAAGTATTTAAACTTTAATTTTTAATTTGTTTTCTATGCAGTCTTTAAGAAACAGACTTGTTTTGAATTGAATTGTAAAAAAAAAAATTATTACCCCATTATTTTACTATTTTTATAAACTTCAAAGGCCTGCAAATGTCCCGTGCATAACATGAGAATGGCCCTGTTGTGTTTTTTGCCACAAAATAGGATATTGTGTCATAATTGTCAGCGTTGCCAATTCTCTGTAGTTTATTTTTCTTTTAAGAGTTACCAGTGTCTAAATTTACTTCATTTCTGGACCTTTATGTATTAAATTAGAATTTATAAATGAATTCAGTCAAATAAATCCATTTAAAAAATAGCTCAGGAAGAAAATATGTCTCTCTTAATCATCTCAAAAATTATGACTGTGACAAACTCTTGGCTGAACACAACTATTAAATGTAACAAATTTTTGTGAACTGTTATTGTCATTGTTCTGTTTTAACATGTAAACTTTTTAATACATATATATTTATGAAATGAAGGTCTCCTCTATATATATATTTGCTTGGCAATTTTGTAAATTGATGAATAATTTATTTTCCTATCTTTTTAATATATTAATTAATTTATTTATCTTTTTAAGGAAGGAGATGACCTTTTTCCTAAAGATGAGAACAACAAGATGTTAACAGAAAATATTGACTTCATAGAAACGTGGAAGGTTATTTAATTATTATTATTTAATACTTTGTCTGTTTTAAACTAGTAGTTTAAAAATATTACTCACAAATGTTGCTATTTTTTATTCATTAATTTCCAAGTTTTTTACATTATATAAAAGTGGATGTGTTATGGTACATAAGTTATACTAAAATTAAATTAATATTTTTATTGTGTTAGCCACAAGGATTTTTTAAAAAATTTTCTAATTCTATGATTAAGGATATAAATTAGTAGAACCTATATATATGTATATATATATACAGTGGTGGCCGAAAGTGTGGACACTTTTTGAAAGTTTCATGTTTTTCAACTTTGTGTGCTTGTAGAATATATTAATTTTCACTTAAATACAAACGTTTATATATCAAATTGAAGGTAGTTTAATGTAGAATTTAATAATAAATACAGTATTACAATATCTGTATTACAAAAAAAGTTATGCAATTAAAGTTATGCGCTAGCTGTATCGCAACAAATAGTAAGATCTATCTTAGATTTGCATTTTTTTAAAGTGATACTCACACAATCAATACTTAGTAGGATAACCCTTAAATTTTAAGACAGCTTCACAGTGTTTTTCCATCGAGTGAACGAGTGTTTGGAGTTCATCTTTCGTAATCACATGGTGCCAAGAATCAATTATAGCTTCACTTAGTTGTCTTTTATTGGATGGACGTTTTTTTCGTACAAGAATTTTCAAACGTCGCCACAAATTTTCAATTGGATTGAGATCAGTGTTTCCTGGCCATGGTAATATATCTGTGCCTTTATTTTGAAAGCATGCTTTGCATACTTTTGCTGTGTGGCATGGAGCTGAATCCTGCTGAAAAATAAATGGTTCGTTGTTGGGGAAGTATTTGTACTGTATTTATTATTAAATTCTACATTAAATTACCTTCAATTTCATATATAAATGTTTGTATTTAAGTGAAAATTAATATATTCCACAAGCACAGAAAGTTGCAAAACATGAAACTTTCAAAAAGTGTCCACACTTTTGGCCACCACTGTATATATATATATATATATATCAATGCAGGTTTTGTTTCTCAAGGTAAAAACAATAAAATGATTATGCTTTTGCATTTTATCTGTTAGAAAAAAAGAACTTTCCTCAAACATTGATGTTGAACTCAACAAAAAATATTTTAGTTTAACTTCATATGATAACTCATCATACTTCATAAGATAACTTCATATGCAGATGTATAACTTTTTTGGATTTCTATTCCTGATGTTGTTAACTTATGATTATTGGACTCGTGATTTTTTGAGAAATATTCCAAAAACGCTTCTACTTCACTTTCTGTCATTTCATAAGTTTTTATATTGTTATTTGTTTACAGTCAAAAAGATAATTTTAATGAATTATAATTTATATTTTAAAAGCTATATATATATGGTATTTATATCGCTATTATTATTTTATTAGACTAGAAATATTTGGTATATAATCACTCCAGGCTGAATCTTAGGTTTTTCAAATCCTATTAGTGTGTAGTAACTAATATCAAGTAATGAAATTTTCAAAAATATTTTCTATTCACTCTAAGGCAGTTTCATTATTCAGGTTTTATTTGTTGCATGAGCATTTATTAGTTTTTTTTCCTTTCTTTTATTTGAAAATTTTACTGCTTTTAGGTTACTAAAAATTATTCTAAACATATCATTTAGTCAATATTAATATCTAGCTTGTCATAGAATTTTTGTTTTTAAAGAGTAGAGGATTATTCCAACACTTTTGAAATATTATTGATAGTAACATTCAATCAATAAAATGAAATAGTTATTCTGAAGTGGAAAAAGTATTATATTCAAGTGCATAAAAATTATGAATATTTGAGGATATTATTCAATTTTGATACTTTTCTGTTTCATAAAAAAAGTTTACCTACATTTAAAGCATGTTAAAGAATGAATTGTCAGATCATAATAATTTAGCAAATCCTTCATTTTATACTTTCCATAAATGCTGTTACACTTTTTCTCAATATTTTTGATGGTTACTCCCCTCTGTCACAAATTGACAAATTTCACTATATCCTTTCCCTTGTCATGCTGTATTACAAACATATACTATCAGTTCAGAAACAAGGCACAATTTAAAACATCACATTTAAATTTTTTTTGTTTTAACTTTAACCATGTGTTTTATTGAAAGCATAACAGTGATTTTGTTTGTAATTATTTTGAAGAAGAAGTTGATAAAAGCGTAAAATAAATAATACAGAAATATTTTAGCTGCTAATTTTCAATGTCTATATTTTATCCATAATGTGTGCTGCCACACATTTTGCTATATGTCCCTCGTGTCACAAACTCTCACTATTTCATGAATCCTCTCCTTCTGAGTGATGCAATTTATCGACAGCCCTATGCTTTGTGATAATTTTTTTTTTTACGTAGGGTATGGAGGAATGCTATGATAAAGGTCTTGTGAAAGCTATTGGTCTATCCAATTTCAACAGTGAACAGATTCGTAGAGTTCTTGATGTGTGCAAAATCAAGCCAGTTGTTTTGCAAGTAAGTGCTGTGTGGTGTTCTATTTTATTTATTTATATATCTATGATCAGATTCACTTAAACTAAATAACTAGTTTAATAATCAGCCTATTTTTAAAATCTTTAAATCATGAAAACTATTGTATTTTATTACATTACATCAGCTTGTTTCCTTTGCTTTGCGCCTCCTATTTTTTCGTACATCTACTTTTTGCTGTTTCAAGGTTTGGTACTACATCTATATAAAGAATATGTTATTGTTTTACTATCATAACACTAGTTATGGTTAAGTTTGGTTTAGCTACTTGGTATTCAACTGGCTATTATTTTAAATATTTATCTTAAAATAGTTACAGCAATTATTAACTTTCATCTTCTTAGTTTTGGTGTGGAAAGTTAAGGCAAGATGAGAAAGAAAAAAAACTATGTTTGGTTAGAATAGAAAAAAAAATTATTAAAATATATTGTAAGGACTGTTTAAAATTTTTAAAAAAAATATGTGTTACATTCCCATTTTTAAACTTCGAGATTTAATCATTTAATGTGTCAGCGCCATCATCTAAACCACCTTCCTATAAAAGGGAATTTTTTTTTTTAAGTATTTGAGTGAAGATTTATTTAAAGACTTGATTGAATAAATATATTTATTATAAATTAAGCTCATCAGGGGAAAAAAATTACTGGCTTGCAATCAACATAACATCCAGCATAATTATAGCGTTCAACAAAAGAACCAACAAGAACAACTCTAGTTTCGGGTTGTCAGTATATATATAATCCCTAATGATGAGTTGTACTTCATTTGCATACTTGTGTTTGTGGTGCGTACAAATTGCTTGAAATAATAGTTCTTTTAACTGTTGTAAAAGACTCAAACAGTTTCTACTCTCATCTTTTGAAATATTTTAATGCAAATGAACACAAAATTTATGAATATTAAATTTTTCGACTAAGAAAAATGTATGCATTTTTTTTCTTTTTGATAATCTTGCCTGATTAGATATAACATTTTCTCAAGCTACTGGCAGATTGCTTTTTTTTTTAAATTGCTCTATATATTATCATAGTCTCCTATAACATTTAAATTTGATTCATTTCTAAAAAAAGTCCTTGATATGGTAGAAGTTAGTATTTATATGTTCTGGTTTGACTTACACTAATGTTTAATGTTTGTAATTGCTTTATTATTTGAAGAATATGAGGGTAAAAAATGACAATTCACTTTAAAAATAAATTGATTTATGTATTTATCAAATATATTTTCTTTGCTACATGTTTTAAATTGGAAGATGTGTTGATAAACGTTTATTAGCAGAATGAAAGTGCTTGTTGTATGTAATGTGTAATTTTTATAAAATGTTATCACTTTTTACCCTTAAAGATCTTCCATTTTGTTTATAATATTAGTATAAATATAATTATAATATTAAAATACTATTAGTATATTTATATTATAATTCAATCTAGTTCTTTAATGTACTTTAATTTTTAGAGTTGAATTAAAATGTCATGAATAAACTGGATTAATATTGTACTTTTTTGGTCTAATATACTTCTTTAGATGTCATGAGGTTTCATGAAAATAATTTTTATAAAAATAATTATAATATTTTGAAAAAATGGGGAAGATTGATAGAATTTCGGACTTTTTGATTTTCGTTTAAATAAAAAGAGGGGAAAAGCGAGATTTGCAGATATCATAATTACAGATAGTAGAAAAGCTGGGAAATAATATAATCTTAAAATGCTTATTTTATTTACAAATACCATTATTTTGTTTAAGCGTTAAAATCAATGCAATCATTTGAATATCTTGTTTGTTTATGATGTTAAATGTATTGAAATTTATTTATTTATTTTGAAAAATGCTAGTTGTTAAATATAAGTATTTCTTTCTTTCTTTTTTTTTTGTAAGTTAATTTATTAAAATATGTCTCTTAACTATGTATTAATTTTTTTGAAAATGATGACTCATCTGTGTTTAAAAAAGATGACAATTTTGTATTCCTGAATCATTTTTTTGTCTGATTAGTTTAATTTAAAAAGGTAGCATTATTGTGGTTTGTAAGAAATTCATGTATTTCAAAATTTATGTATTCATTGTGATTTGTAAAAATTCATGTATAGTAAGTTTTTTTTTAATGTTACATTTCTCTGTTAGGTTGAATGCCACCCTTATTTGAATCAAAATAAACTAATTGAGTTCTGTAAAGGTTACGACATTGCTGTTACTGCATACAGCCCTCTAGGATCTCCTGATCGACCATGGTAAGTTATATGTAAATTGAAAGTGATATAAAGATATGGGATGGTTTCTGGGTGATTGAATTGAAATTTATTATTCTTCTCTTTATTACTGTTTATTTGTTATCTGTATTTACTATTTATTATATTAGAAATTGCTTACAATTCTTTAGGATTATTTTTCTTGGGAAAGCAGATTGCTTTTTCTGCTATTATATATATATATATANTACTATTATATGTAAAATACATTTTTCTTAGCTACTTTCAACTCACTTCAATATTTAAAATTTTTAACTATCTAGTTAATTGTTATTTTGCAAACAAAATTTGGCTTTTTAACGTTGTTGAATTTGTTTTTAGGAATAAACCTGATGAGCCTAGTCTATTGGATGATGAGAGAATTAAAAAACTTGCTGAAAAATACAATAAGACTCCAGCTCAAGTAAGTTTAAACTTTCATACACTGAAATTTCATTTTTACTCAAAAATGGTATTTAGAATTGAAGTGAATACATGAAATTTGAGTAGTAAGTAAAATGACAAATATATATTGATTGTAATAAACGTCATATATGATTTTATATAGACATTTTATCCACAAAATTACTAACTAGTAATTTTTTTATCAGTATTTTCCCCCTTTAAATATGTTATGGTGCTTATATAGTCTAAGTATAAAAGCATTTAAAACATGCTTATTCATTTCATTTTTATGCCTCCTTTTTATTTTAAGTTCTCTAGGTTTTAGTATAGAAATTAATCTAAAATAAAAGGCTGGAAACCTTTTTTTATTTTTTGGCCACAACTGTCACTTTTATTTAGCTTTATTAAGTTAGCCATTTATATTTTTTTTTAAATTTTGTCGAATAGCATAAAATTTACAAAATCAGAATAAACTAAAATTATTTTACGTTTTCTAAGATTTATGACTCTTAAGCAAAACCTTGATTAATTGTTTCATTGAAAAAGAAAACTTCTGTGAGCTTTTTAAGTAAGTAAAGGAGTTAAACTACATGGCTTACATTAAAAAAATTTGCTTCTTGTGGGGGGAAAGAAAGAAATATTATCATTAGGATTCACACCAGTATGACAAGGCAAAAATTGTCATCAATTGTTCTACAAATGTCGCTAAAATCATATGCGTAAGCAACAAATTTGTCGACTTGAAATATGTTTAAAATTTACTAAATAGTAAGGAGAAATAGTTTTTTTTTACATAAAATTCCTTGCCGTTAAAAAAATTTTTTTTTACTAACTGTAGATTTGTACTAAACTTGCTTATATATTTTATTCTAATTTGCAATAACAAACAAATCGTTACATTTTCTGAAAATTAACTCTGTTTAAAAAGCATGTGCATGACCTTTCTGCTAGTTGTCTACTTAAAATTAATTTACCACTTAATTTTTTGAAGCAAAACTTCTATTATAAATATTTTAAAACATTTTCTTTAAAATATTTCATGTAAACACATCAAATTTTATTTTATTTATTATTTTAGGTATACTTTATGTATTAAAAATAATTAAGATATTTTGTTACTTTTTAGATTCTGTTACGATTTAATGTTCAGCGAGAAGTTGTCGTCATCCCTAAAAGTGTTACAGAAGAAAGAATAATCAGCAACTTTAATGTAAAAATGATACTTTTAACTAATTTTTTATAGTTTGAATGTTGTGTCATGTATTTAGTAATAATATTTGTTTCTTTTTTTTGTTCTCTTATTAGTCTTAAAAGAATATATGTGTAGATTATATCAGTTTTCATAGATTACAATTGCAACCCGGATGGATAGATTTAGATAATTGTTTTTTGTTAAAAATAAAGACAACGCCATCTTTATTTTTTTTAAATTGAGATTGCTATCTAATATTAAGCTCATTCGAATATTGTCTTTAAAAAATGTGCCGAATATTATCTTAAAAATAGTTATACATGTCAGCAACCTAAGTATCTTTCAGATATTGAAACAGTTTTAACCAATTATAGTACGTTTTATATGTAATATAGTATGTTAACCCAATATTTTTTTAATGATTTTGCACAAATTTAAATTTTTCTGAAAAAGTATATTTTTGATTAATAACAAAATCATGTGCTTATGCTATAGTCAAATAATTTGTATGTTCATGTTAACAATTTTCAAAGAACTCCTATATCATTACTAACAAACCAATATGCAAACAATGCAATATGTTAAGATTTAATCTGATCTTATGATTCAAATAATATGCTGAATTTAAATTTTTTTAAAAATCTTTAAAATGCTTATTTAAAAGACCTGTATTGTTTATCGAACCACTGAACTTGCGTAGAGCATGTTTCAATTTACAGAGTTGGATAAGTTTATTTTAGGGCATGTATCATTCCAAACTTTCTTTCCCTTCGTTTTTACTATTAAATTCTATAATAATTCGGCATAAATAGAAATAATAACGTATGATCTATAATTAAAAACACTAAGGATTATCTTCAGACAGATAATGAATTCTGCCCCTATGTGTTAAGTAATTAATTAATATTTTGAAATACTTTATTCATTGAAATGTGTCATATCAGGAACCGGGGGAGCAGACGGCACTTCAGCTCCCTTACGTTTTATGAAAGAAAAGACTCGGTACTTCTCAGATTACAATTTTTCACTCAATGTTTGTGTAATTAAATTTAAAATTAAAAATTAATCAATAATTTTTTTTATGTCTGAATTCTGAAAAAAAGTTCTTTATAATGTTATAATAGTATGCATCTGTATGCAATTAAATTCCTAAATAAAACATGTTGCATTTGCACTAACATTTAATTATATTTTTTATGTCTACATTCAATGTAAGTGTTCAACAGAACAATTCTACAAATTAAATATTAAAAGGGCAGATTTTTCCATGCGGCCTCTCATATTAAAAAACTAACCACTCTCGTTTCTATAATTTGAACTAATGTATAATCTTATGTGTTATTATATTATTTCGAAGATAGATGTGTTAATTTTCTCTTTCCATAATTCTCTATTCTAACCATGAGCTATTTCTAATAATTACTTATTTTTCATTCTTTAATTAATTAAATTTAGATGATTATTATTTTTTGTAATTATTATCTTTCAGATCTTTGATTTTGCACTTACTCAAGATGAAATGATAACAGTTGGTAGCTTTGCAGAGAAGTACCGTTATTGCCACTTGAATTGGTGAGACCTTTAAATACTACACTTCTTTGATTTTTATCAGCACCGTGTGGTTTTATAAGACAATTTGATTCCTTTAAAAATGTCTAAAATATATAGTGTATTGTAGGAGTGCACAAACAGAGACCACCAACAAAGAAATAAGTTTTTTCTACTAATTTTACTGAACTTTGAAAAAGTGCCAAAATTATAGCTTAATTTATTGAATACTTGTCTTGCATATTATATTAAAATGAACAGTTGAATCATTTAATCTTGTTTCATTTATGAAAAACTATCCACTTTTATAGTACATTTATGGCAAAGCTAATATTAATTATACTAAGTGTTCAGCAGAAAAGTTCTACAAATTAAGTTTTTCAGAATGATAACCTCACATAATTAGCTTTATTTCGTGTTAGTTGCCCTTTTACGATTGAAGAATTAGGGAAGTTTATTAAGTCACATTGTTCAGGAAAGCATTTTTGGTGAAAAATAGCATGATTAAAAATAAAATGTTTCTGCATATTTTTGCTATCTCGGGAAATTGTTTGGAAAATGACACTAGTAAAACAAGCTTGATGCAAAAATGTTATCATAAAGTGTGGTATTGTCCCAATCTCTTGTAGGCAACACCAGCACAATCTTCATAAGTTCACCTCTACAATTAATCTACATAAATTTTCTATAAAAAAATTTAATAGCATAAAAGTTTTTCTGTTAGAAAATGTTTCTATTTTTAGAGTCCAAAACAGTTTTGTATTAAGTTATTCCAAATTTTCATTATTTTTGCAGATTTAAACTCAGCAAACCTGCCTGAACTGTGTTATTTATGCTAGCCTTTTCTTTTCTTTGCACCCAAAAAAGTTCAAATAGTTTTTAAAGCTTTATTGACTTTATCATATTTACTTAATATTTTTTTTTTTTTTTTTAGGTTGAAGGATGATCCAAACTATCCTTTTGGCATTGAGTATTAAAATGTTTGCTCTGATTGAAATATTTGTTTGTAAGACAAAACTGCTACAGCACTGTATAAAAGTATTAACATTTGGTTAACAATAAAAAACTGTTTCATCATGAATATCAAATATATTATATTCTATTATTACTGTGATGCCACAATAGGCATTACATATTTCCTAGCTTTTAAAATTTCTTAAACTTATTTTTTTTAATTATTCTTAACCGAGTTTTAATTAAATTAAATCAATCATTAATTCACTAAATCGAAAACAAAAAATTTATTTATAACTCTTTATTCTTTATTTCTTACCACAAATATGTTTCAGCTGTACATGACTGTATTAATTCTGACAGTCTTGTTGGCGATTCGTGATCGCCAAAGTATTTTCAATGCTAATATCGATTATAGGGGGTTAGCTTTATTTTTTGGATATGTTATCTTTCAATTATTCGTTAATCTTGGATCTCTTCCCATGCTCCTAACTATCTGTTGGAAACAATTCATTCAATTTCCAATTTTTGGCAATTGGGGGTGCCCTTTTGCTCATTTCAGTTCATCAATCCTAATTCTCAATATGAAAGGAACTGTTTTTCTTGATCCCTTTAAGGGGTTTTTCTTTATTTTTATATTTTGAATTATGGCCATTTTCAATACTTTAAATCTATTTTTCTTAAATGATTTTATTCATTTTCCCGAGATAATTATCATTATATTACATAAAATTACGATGTATCTGTAACGGCAGAAGTCGATGATCTATCATTAAAAATTTGGAATGACAATCAGAGCCACCACAATTACATTTGTATTTAAATTTTAAACATATTGTTTTACTAAAAATTAAATGCTAAGTACCATGAGTTTTGTTTAATCTTTGCAAAATTTACTTAAACAAATTTTACTTCAATATACCAAGTTAGGTAGCTCTAATTTCCAATTTTTTGTTCACCTCTTGTACCAAGAAATTTTTAAAAATTTGAAGAAAAAAAAACTTTGTGATTTATAGAGAAGCATTTATTTTTTTTATATTTGCGCATTGTTGTATAGCAAAAAAAGAAATAATAAATTGATATCAAAAAATTCTTTTTGTCCAACTCTATATACTATTTCAAATTTTGTAAAAGTCAAATAGCAAAAAAAATAAATGAAAAAAAATATAAGATAATCATAAATTTAGACTTACTAGTGCTCCACGCTAATTAATTCAGAAAAAAAAGGTACAAAAGCCTACTTTTTTAATTCTGGATAATACTAATTTAGTACTGTGCCTCTATTCGAAACATTTTCGTTTTTATTCACAATTCTATCTACTTTGAAGCTAAAATTTCGCAATGTCCATTTCAATATCTGTACTAGTGGCTCTCAAATATATCGTGAAAAAGGTGAAATATCAACTCAGCAATACTTTTCTTGCATTAAAATTCCCTTCTTTATCCTGTTTAACTAGAATGCCATTTCAAACTCTTCCATGTTGTGAAATCTTTGACCTCTCTGGAGATTTTGGGACTAAGCAGTTTAGGAAAGGCAAAAATGTAGTGGATGTGGAAGAAAGGATTAAGATATTTGCTTCTGCTTATAAAGTAGATTTTTTTTTTAAATTTTCTTTTAGTCCGTGGTCTGAATTAATTAATTGTTCAAGTTTGTCCCGATGCTTTGGGGGTATTTTTTTCTTTTAACAAAATGTTTTAGTATTTTTAACTTAATTAAATTCTCCAAAAAATTATTGGTTATAATTTAATTAGAGATTTTATCTTGCACCCTTTTTCTGAAAGCTTTTGTACTCTCATGAATTATTTTTCTCAGCAAAGCCAACCAATCGCTATTAGCAGAATGTTACAATTGTTGCATTGATGCTGATTTTCAAGATTTCATGATAACGTTTATTTTCATATTTCCGAAACTGTTACTCCTTTTACCCTAAAAAAGCTGGCAAAAACCAAGGAATGTATGAAGAACATGTTAAATGAGAGAAAAAAATTCATATTTATATTTGTTTATTAGAAAGAGGGAAAACAAAACTTCGTTTTTCTGTTCTGCATTGTACAGGAACAGGTTTCAAGTTGGGCAACCAGATGGACAAACTAGGAATTCTTAATATATTCTAATTTAAAAAGAAAGAATAAAATTTAAAGTATTTTATCTAGTTTTTTTTCTATAGAATATGCAACAAGAAATCTGACAATTTTTCCTTTACGAATACTGAATATCTCTTAAAATTATAGAACTCGAAACAAACAACATTATGTAACATTTGACTTATGTGATATTAGTTCAAAGAAAATTATTTCAATGAATTTTATAAAGAGCACTGTTTGGATAAAATACAGTATTAAATGGCTCTATATTGAAATGTAAATAAATATAAAAATTTAATTTATTTCTAATTACCTGGAATTATTTTCCTTTGCTTAATAAAAATATATTAAACAGTACTTATCCAAGGTTGTCTTGGGTCATTGCTATTTGGTACATTTTGTGCAAAAACTATTTAACACTTAAAACTTTTTTTTATTCATTAAAATTGTTATTTTCTGAAAGCTTAATCCTCCACATCTATTCAAGATGATATATTAAAAAAATAACATTTAAATGAAATACTACGCTATTATATTGACTAACATACTAATGTTGACACTTTTCTTGTACCTATACTACTCTTTAGCAGAGAAAAAAAACATGCTGACATTGAAATTTTAAGATTTTTACTGGAAAAATCTGGGAAATTTGAAACCTGATGTGAGTGGCCACCCTGAAGTCTGATCCAAGATGAATTTTGGGGTACCAGCTTTACCAAATGATTTTACGAGTGATCGAGGCATGTGGAGTAATTCAACATTTGTTATAGTTCTGACAGCTAAGTGAATACAATAAAGTTAATTTCTTTTATAAGAAAGTATTTTTTAATTAGTCTTGCACAATAATATTTTACTAATTACTAACAAATGGGCTCATAAGTAAATAATAGGTGTCTATTTCTTATTATATTTAACTCATTTAGTCGTTAGTGGACCTTAGACTTTTTTGCAAAGTTGATCCCCTGTATAACTAGAAAGGTTGAGAACCGCTATAATATTCAAGAATATTTTAAGTTATTTTCAAGAATATTTCGGTTAATACTCGTGTTTTGCCACTGTGTTTGTTTTCAAAAAACCAAATATTTTATTCATTACTCAATATAGAACGAATAAATTCAATGTTCAACTCAATATATCTTTGAAAAGCATTCCCGCAACAGCCAGTAGGTAATGAAAAACTTTTCATGATTCACAATTCGTGAATTTCTAGGTAAGTATTGCGTACGGACCACCTTTAGTTTCTAGACAAGCTAGTACACATAGATTCGAAGTTGGATCGGCATTGAACAGCCACTGGAGATCGAACCCCAGTTGTACTAAATGACCAGCCAGTGTTTTAACCACACGCTCATACACGACTCTTAACATACCGTAAACAAAGAAAAAATCTCAGCAAAAAAAAAATTTATTGTTACATGCAACAAATTTATTTTTACACTTAGAGAAAATGATCAAATTTTCATGTATTATGTCTTTTAATCTAAACGATGGTTTTAAAGGCACGTCTTAAGGTGTTTGTTTTGAAATATCTAGTTCTTAATTGTTTAATTTACCTCAGAGCCGTTTTTAAGGATGGGCCCTGGCACAGGGCCCCGAGTTCTGATGGGGCCCCCGAAAAGTTTAAAATCTCACTGCATTAATTGTTTTGTTTTTTTTTTTAAATTCTAACTCATTTTTTATTTATAACTAAAGAGGGCCCCCAGATCCCACTTTCTTCTTCTTTTTTTAAAGCTTTATTCTGAGCTGGGGCCCTCTGAAGCCGATAATATATAAATATTTTTTTCTTTCTTACATTGTCGGATGTTTTTCAAAATCTAATCGAAGTGTTTACAAAGATAAAATAATTGTTACTCTTCACTTTTCTAACCAAAAGAGCAATAAAACACTCTTTCCAGTAATGAAAATATCCCCACTTTCGTAGCTACCTCCCCACAGACTTGTCAAATAGCCTCCTCACTTACACTGTGAGAAAATGTTTTTAGCTTCTTTATATTGCCTGCCTGGGGGCTCTTTTTTTCCTAACTTCGGAAATATCAGATATCCACAGAAACATCCTTTTGTTTGATTTCTGGTCATGAATTTCTAAGAAGAAAACATTTCTAGGGCTGTAAATAGGGGGAGATTCTTGTTAGAATTTCTTTGAGTCTTGAGATTTCCATAGTGCCTTTAAATTGGGCCTCGTTCAGTTCTAAATTTTCTTTCTTACAAAATTTAGATATTTTTTCTAATTTATTATAAAAGCTTTTTTTTCTTTTAATCATCCTAAATGTTTCACCTAGCCCAATTGTTAAATTTACTTAATTATTGTAGTTGATTTTATTTTGTTATTTTTCAAATTAATCGTAAGAGAATCCGTGGACTAGGAATTTCTACATCAAATTTTCGTAGGATATTAAAAAGACATAAATCTTTCACTTTGGTGGTAAGCAAATGTTTTTATTAAATCAATTTTGGCTGTAGTTAGGGAAAACGTGAAAGGTTTGCGCAGTTTTTTATATATACATTGTGATATTTTTGTTTATTTATTTAAATGTCCGGCCAATATTCAATTCCCTTTTTGACTGGCCTGTCTGCCAAAACTCTTGATTTGGTCTGTTCTGGATGAAGTTGAGATAACAAATGTAATTTTATTTTAATTTTACTTGCTGCTAATAGACAGAAACAACATATGATTTTGTTTAATAGAGCTTTGAAGTCAAATGATCATCAGCTAAACAAATGTTTAAACATGAGAAAAAAATTATTTAAAACTCCTGTATGACCCAATTTTCCATGTTTCCCCTAAATATGAAATGTGTTTAATTTGTAATATTATATTTCGTACACAAAATTAATTTATTTAGTTAACTTATGATTTTATTGTTTATTGATCATATGTGTTTCTATTTTAACTCCGTGATTTTTGTTGTTATTATGTGTTTAAAGTTAATAAGGCTTCTCAATTTTTTAATTAAGGCTTTTAAATTTCCTAATCAAAGTCAAAACAATTTCTTAAAATTGTAAATCGAAACTATATATGAAATTTTGACAGCTTTGTTTTTA